CCAGCCGCGGCGCCCCCTGCCCGAGGGCGCGGGGGACGAGCGACGGGCCCCGGACCCCCGCCCCCACCCGGGGCGGGATCCAGACCCGACGGGTCGGGGCGCGCACCCTCCGGGCCTCCCTCGGGCGCAGAGGGCGTTGGCGACCCGCGCTGCGGTCCTCCGCGGCTCGGACGCGTTTATCACCCGAGAGGGGGAATGCCGCCCCCTCCCCGCCCCCCAGGTGACGGTGTCACCGCTTCCGGCCTCGACGTGGGGCCCGCGCCACCTCCCAGCACTGTGCCACTGTCCGCGAATGCTGGGCCGCGCCGAGCCTCAGTTTCCTCGCCTATGAAATGGATGCGCGCTCGCCGCGGGTTCGCGGGGGTCCCCAAAATGTGGCCTGTTGTTGTGAGCCAAGTTGGGGAAGGTGCCTGTTCCCGAGGCGGCCAGCGGCCACTCCGCCGGCGTCAGTGGCAGACAACCCCCCTCCAGCTGTGGCGGGGGTGACGCTAGACCCTTTTTGGTGGCTGTGCCCCAGGCAGGACACCGAGGCTGGCGGAGTCACGAACCCCGAGCTTTATCCTGAAGTCCCCTTGATTGCGAACTCGCGTTGTCCTCCCCTGACTTCTGCCAGAGAAGGGTCGTCTCGGAGGAGGGCAGAGGTGGACAGTGGGCTTAGTGGCTTCCTTTCGCTCAGTCTCCTCCCTCCTGCCTGTTCCGTGGGAGGCCAAGCCTGAATGTGGGGGCAGGGCTGTCTGAGGGGTGAACCCGCGGGGCGCGGTGTGTGGGTCCGAGTCAGCTGCTGTGTGGCTGCGGTGGCCCAGTATGTTGGGACATCACCTGTCTGTGCTTGGCAGCCCTGAGCGAGGCGTGATTCTCCAACCTGGCAGGAGAGAGACTGAGGCTGAAGGGTCAGGGGACCCTCCATTCATCCATCCATCCATCCATCCATCCATCCATCCATCCATCCAACCAATCATCCGTGGCCTCTGTGCCAAACCTGGAGCCGGCACTACCCCTAAGCAGGCAAATGAAAGATGCTTTTCCAAGGGAGCTTCCAGCCCAGAGGTGTTCCCGCCTTTGAGCTGCTCTGGCCATATTTTAAAATGCTGGGAGATTTCTGGGGGTTGGGCTAGGCATCATGTGATGACAGTGACAGTTTGGTTAGGAGCACCTCTGGGCTGTGGGCTCTCCTGCCGTATTTAACTACATACTTGGTCCTTCTACCCACCCCAGTAGGTAGGTATTCTCCCTTATTTGTGGGCAAGAAAATGAGATCGTATAGCTCATCACTAGGAGGCCCAGAATGTAAATCAGGGCTGTATGATTCTTAATAACATTAGGAACAATGATAATGGTAAGTTGTAGCTGATATTTATTGGATGCATGCTGCGTGCTGGCCAGGATACTCAGACCTCTGTATTTAATCTTTGTGATAATCCTATACAGCGGGTACTATTATTATCCCCATTTGAAACATGAGAAATCAAAAGCAAAGAAAGGTTGAGGCATTTGCCGGAGACCATGCACGTCAGCTGGGAGCTGGCAGAGCCGGGATTCGAATAGCACCAATTCGTTTTATTACCACAAGGCGCTCAGGGCGGCCAGACAGGGTCTGTTTTGGATGTAAGAGACAGAAATCCCTCTCCCAAACTGAAGTTTATGTCTGTCTTATTTGAATGAAGCCTGGGGGTGAAGCAGCTCAGGGTTTCTGCATCACAACCCAAGGTGGCTACTCTAGCTCCACCCATTACCTCTGCATCCCAGGTGACCAGAGTTAGAGCTGAAGAGGGGCAGTGCCTCCTTTTAAGAACAATTCTCATGAGATCTTTCTGTTTAAATTCTGTCGGTCTTAACATAGTCACATGAGCACATCTAGCTGTAGGGTTGCTAAGCCAAAAATCTAGCTCCCCCACAGTCAAAGAAAACACAGACCTGGATAGTTGTTAAAAATAGTAAACACAGATTTTATTGAGGGCTCTTGCAGTAGGGGAAAAGAGCCGTTGGTCTTGAACCCAGTTCGACGCCGAATACGGCATGGGCAAGTGGGAGTTTATAGCCAAGGAGCAGCTTAAAATCATTGCGTGGAAACTTAATGCGGGGGAGACATCAGGGGCGAGGGGAGGATTCTGGCTAAACCCACCCGACAGGATCTTTGCTGAGGGCAAGCCGGGTGATCAGATGTCACCTGGGGGTGATACCAGATGTGAGGCTGACCAGGCATCAGAGTGGGGGACTCTTGCTAAACTCAAACAGCAGGGTTTTGTTAAAATTGGATTTTATAGGAAGGGCACAGGTGGGCCTGTGATAGATTTTGGGAGCCTGACTCAAGTCTGGTCAAGTAAAGAATCTTTGTCACCGCATGGGGAGAAGAGGTGAAGGAGTATGGCCCTTCCTGCACCCCAGAGTCCTGCTTCATAGGACACTGTGGCCCCTGCCATTTGGAGAGGCACCAGGCATGGGGGCCCAACCACCCTGTGTGAGCCGCCCAAAGCTGTCAGGTAACAAGAGAGAGGAGGCTTAAGCCCATGGCACCTGTAATTTCCCGTGTTTTGACCCAGGGGCAGCCAGTCAGTGGGTGCCGGTTTCTGCCGGACCAGAACTCCTGACCCACATCCTCCCTCCAGAGGCCAAACAGGCAGGACAGGTCTCACAGTGTGGGCGTTTCTGACCCAGATGCAGGACAGCGGCCAGCACTGGGCAGGGGTGGGGGGTGACTTACCAAGGCCATCCGTCTGGGCTCAGTTCTCTTTCTTTTGCAGGGGGTGCAGATAGGGGTCACAGGATTATCCTTGATAATCGCAAGTTATTTCAGACTAAATGGCATGAAGAAAGCAACTAATAACTGTCACTTTCTACAAAGCTGTTTTGCAAAACATCTGACTTGCTGTCACCCTGGAGGCAGGGAGAGGCTAAGGAATGTGGCCCCACCTAGGAAGGAAACCCCTGACCTCACCAAAGCCCCTTTCTCCCTGTCGGAGGCCATCAGCCCTGTGTGTCCTGGACTGAGCCCTCGGGAGGGGAAGCAGCAGCAGGTGATGAACTAAGAACTTCCTCCCCCTTCCTGGGAGCCCAGGGTGTGGGGCCATGTCCTGACTTAGGCCACATGGAGCCTCGGTGGGAATCCAGGCCAGTGAGGTGCCACCCTTGCTGACATGATGATTAACGAGCGATGCCGAGGTCTCCTCTATGTGACTTAAGTTAAGCCTCTACGTGGCCCGGCTATGGGCGTGCTGGGGTCTCCAGCAGAGAGCTGGAGCTCCGAGGGCCCTGGGAAGGTGGGTCTTGCCCAAGGCCACGCTGCGGGTGGCCGAGCAGGCCTGGGCTCTGGGCTCCAGAGGGTACAGCACTGTGACCTCTGGCAGTCTTCACCAGTGGCTCCGCTCAGGGGCTGTGGTTTTGGGTTGCTCTGACAGAAAGGGAGCACGTCTGGTTGGGGCCGGAAGTAAGGAACCGGGTCCTGGGAGGTGGTGTCTCACGGGGGCAGCCAGGCCTTTCTTCCAGCTGGACTGGGAATGAACGAGGCGTCTGGGGCCGACGGGAGGCGAGGGGCCCAGGTTCCGACCGGCGGGGTGCCCTCGGGTAGGTCGTCCCCCTGTCCTAGCTCTGCTTGTGTCATCTGCGGGATCTGAGTGGGTTGCTGTTACTGAGGGGGTGCTGCCGGTGGGGCCTGGGTGAAGGGGCTGAGCTGGCTTGGGGCCGGGCAGCAGATGGCACCTGTGGTGTGGGGGTGCCCCACCTGGCCCCTCCTGGGGAGGGGAAGGAGGCCAGGCATTCCCTCTGAGACCCCAGGAACTCGGGAAGGGGACGGCAAAGCAACGAGTGTGGGAGCCGGGCGGTCATCTCTGCCCCCCTCTTCCTCTGCAGGTGGGATGCTATGGAATATGATGAGAAGCTGGCCCGGTTCCGGCAGGCCCATCTCAACCCCTTCAACAAGCAGCTGGGGCCAAGGCAGCATGAGCAGAGGGCCAGCGAGGAGGCCCCAGACTTCGCTTCTGAAGGCGGGTGCTGGGGGGAGGCCTGCGTGGGCAACCCGACCCCTCACATTGTGCCCCCCCCTTCCTAGTTCCTCTTGTGGAGCACGCTGGCTTTCCCATGGAGCTGGGCTCGTGCTGGCCACTTCCCTTTTGTCCACAGCACAAACCACTTCCCACCTGTTCTTTAGTTTACTTATCTCTGCCCCTCCATGAGAACACACAGTCCCGGGGCACCTCTGTGGCTCAGTCGGTTGAGTGTCCGACTTCAGCTCAGGTCATGATCTCTGTGAGTTCGAGGCCTGTATCAGCCTCGCTGCTGTCAGCAGAACCCATTATGGATCCTCTGTCCCCCTGTGTCTGCCCCTCGCCCACTTGTGCTCTCCCCAGAATAAATATTCACACGCACACACTCCCGAGGGCAGGGATTTGTGACTGTCTTGTCACTGCTGTGCCCCAGGGCCCAGCACATAGCAGATGCTCGTTAAAGGAACACTTGGAGCGTAAGCTCAGAGCTGAGGTCTCATCAGGGAGACGTTGGATCGTGCTGAACAGAGGCCCAGCCAGCAGCTTGGGAGGTCAGGAGGGTGCGAGCTCTACGAACGGCAGACTGAGTCACCTCAGGGTATCCAGGGTGTGTGTGGGCACGCGCGTGCGCACACAGAGGTCTCCTACCATTAGGAATTCTGTTGTTCAACCATCTAGCAGCCTTCAACCCATATACACATACGCAAAGTATGCCTTAGAAATTGGGGTGTTTTTCTGATACTGTTTTGTACACCTCTTCTTGGCACTATGTGTGTCTTTCCACCTCTTTTTCTTTTTCTGTTTATTTTTTCTTTTAGAGAGAAAGAGAGAGAGAGTGAGTGTGTGCATGCAGGGGAGAGGGGCAGAGGGAGAGGGAGAATCCCAGGCAGGCTCCACACTTAGTGCAGAGCCTGACGTGGGATCATGACCTGAGCTGAAATCAACAGTCTGACGCTCAACCTCAACCGACTGAGCCACCCAGGGTCTCCCCACCTCATTTTCTGGAAAGGCTCTCTCTTATTTGTAAAGGATATGGGTGCCTTTGCAAATGCAAACAGGGCAGCTGCAGGGCAGGGCCTGGTTCCCCTCAGCACCTCCTGTGGGCTTCTGCCATCTCAAGGGTCTTTCCCACCCCAGCCTACTCCTGGTGGAAACACAGGTTGATTTTTCCTTCTCTCTCTGCTGTGCTCCACCCCTGCACCCACTCCAGAGGCCCTGCCTGAGTTGCCCCCTGGAGAGCCAGAATTCCACTGCACTGAGCGAGTGATGGATCTCGGCCTTTCTGAGGACCACTTCTCCCGCCCTGTGGTAAGGTTTGGGCCTGGGCGAGCCCCCGAGGCAGGGGGAGCTGGCCATTTTCTTGTCTCCCCGCCCAGTCCACCTGAGCTGGGGCTCCTGGGCCTTGGATCTGAGACCACATGACAGCTGAGTCTCACCCTGAAAACCTGCTTGGGAACCAGAGATGCGCTGACCTGGGGTTTGGGGCCTGGAGCTGCTCTTCCTGTGTTGGGCGTTCCCCCTCCCCATGCTCCAGGTTCCTGTGAGGCAGATGTGGTTCCATGTGGGGTCCTAGGGAATCCTGCAGCTGTGCAGCAGGGTGAGGGAGGGGAGGGGTCCTCCTGCCCATCTCCACTCAGCTCTGCAGGGCCATTCTCTTCTGTTCGATATTTTGTTCCGTGGAAACTTTTTGTTTTGTTTTGTTTTAATTAAAGGGCTCTAATGATTTCTTTTTAAAAAGTTTGAAAATCAGAGTGTCTGTGTGGCTCAGCTGGTTTAAGTGTCCGACTCTTGATTTTTGCTTGGGTCATGATCTCATGGTTCAGGAGTTTGAGCCTTGCATCGGGCTCTGTGCTGACAGTGTGGAGCCTGCTTGGGATTCTTTCTCTCTCTCTCTGCCCTCTCCCACTTTCATACTCTCTCTCTCTCAAAATAAGTAAATAAGCTAAAAAAAATAAAGTTTGAAAATGTTTTAGTTTTATGCAAGGTATCCTCAACTTAAAAAAATTGTTTTTTAATGTTTATTTATTTGAGAGACAAGGGAGGGTAAGGGACAGAGAGAGAGAGAGAGGGAGACACAGAATGTAAAGCAGGCTCCAGGCGCCGTCCAAGCTGTCGCTGGGGAGCCTGATCGAACTCAAACACCAGCTGTGAGATCGACCTGGGCAGTCGGACTAGCAATGGAATACCCAGGCCCCCCTATTATCATAACTTAAAAAAAAAAGTTTATATATTTTGAGAGAGAGAGAGAGTGAGTGCACACCGGAGCCAGGGAAGCATGAGAGAATCCCAAGCGACTCCTCAGTACACAGACCCTGATGCAGGCTCGGTCCCATGAATTGTGAGATCATGACCTGAAGCTGAAATCAAGAGCTTCAGTTGTTGCTCAACCGCTCAACTGATTGAGCCGCAGGCGCCCCAGTATCTTCAGCTCTTATTTGAGAGAAACATAGTAACATTCAAATGTAACTTAGTCGAAGCCTGGGTAACTCACTAAATTGGCGTCCTGAAGCATCCGACTTGGCTCAGGTCATGATCTCCTGATCTGTGAACCGAGCCCGCGCCGGGCTCTGTGCTGATGGCTCAGGCCTGGAGCCTGCTTCGATTCTGTGTCTCCCTCTCTCTCTGCCCTTCCTGCTCATGCTCTGTCTCTATCTCAAAAAAAATAAATAAATAAAAAAATAAAAAGCGTTAAGAAAAAAATTTTCAAATGTAACTTAAGTCAAAAAAGATTCACCCATGGAAGCCTGGGTAGCACAGTCAGGTTAAGCGTCTACTTCAGCCAGGTCACGATCTCAGGTCCGTGAGTTAGGAGCCCGCATCAGGCTTTCTGGGCTGATGGCTCCGACCTGGAGTCTTTTCCGATTCTGTGTCTCCCTCTCTCTGCTCACTCCCTGCATGCTCTGTCTCTCTCTGTCCCAAAATAAATAAGTGAAAAAATTAAAAAAAAAAAAAAAAAAGATTTCACCCAGAAGCTAGTCACTGACATTTTATTTTAGAATATGGTCTTTAAGTTTTACTGAGTGGATATGTGACTGAAAAAAAATTTGGAGCCTCCTGTGGGCCTCGCGATCCAAGTAGGGGTGTCACCTTCTCTTTGCAGATGCTCGAAGGAAACTCCTGAGGGCAGCTGTCTTTCGGTGTGGGATCGGCCTCAGCTCCCCAGCGGGTCTGCAACCTGTCCCCTTCCTTGAGGTGGCAACAGTGTCCTGAAGCTAGGGGCTTTGCTGGGCCTTTGCCTGGGTCCTTGTGAGTGCTGGGGCCGGGGTGTGTCTCTGGGCAGTGATTAAGCTAGAGGCCACTTCCTCTCTCCCTTCATGACAGGCCAGTGTCTACAGCTTTCATCAGAGGAAGCTCTGTAGAAGTAAGGAAAATAGCATAGTGAGAAAAGTGATTCGATTTCTTTGTTATTATTTTTTATTTTAAAATTCTTTTTTTATAGCGTTTACTTATTTATTTGGAAGTGAGAGAATAAGCTGCTTTGGGGAGGGGCAGAAGAAGGAAGAATCAGCTTGAGCTCAGGTTCAGGCCCGTCAGCACAGAGGCTTGATGAGGGCAGCTCATGAACGTCATGAACTAACCCGATCGAACAGCAACTGACTGTACCACCAACGCCCTGCAATTTCTGAAAGAAGGAAGTTGTGTTTTGAAAAACATCCTGAATCAGGTTTTCAGGGGCCTGTGAGTAGACAGGTCCAGCTGGGGGTCTGGTTGCATGGGGTGGTTCTGACCTGTGCTGTTCACTTTCCTGGGCCTTGAGCAAGTCCTTGGGCCCCTCTTGCCAGGCTCCAGTTTCTCCATCTAGGTGAGTGAGGAGCAGGGAGGTCTGCTCTGGGCTTCACCTTCACATGCAGAGCGTGCACGGTGGGCATTTGATGCAACCTGATGCCTGCCTGGGCAGGGTCTCTTCCTGGCCTCTGACATTCAGCAGCTGCGGCAGGCCATCGAGGAGTGCAAGCAGGTGATTCTGGAGCTGCCCGAGCACTCGGAGAAGCAGAAGGATGCCGTAGTTCGGCTCATCCACCTCCGGCTGAAACTCCAGGAGCTGAAGGTGTGTGCTGACCTACCTACCATGGAGGCTGAGGGGGGAATGTAGGAATCTCCCCTTCCAGATGCTGAGGGGCTGAAAGGGTGGGCCCTTGCCCCTTGTGGAGGCTATTTCTCTATTATTAGTCTGATCTTGATTGGCCAGTCCTGGTCACATGCCACCTACTGGAGCAAGTAAGTGAGGTAAGGCCTGCCTCGAACCTCATTACCTAGAGTTGGTGGGTGTGTGTGTGGGGTGGTTCCTGAGGATTTTGCAAAGGGGACAGTGGTAAGGGTAATGGATTCTGGAGGCCAAAACCCATAGTTGTCCTTGAAGTCCTTGAGTGTGTACACTCTTTAGCTTGGCTGCCAGTCCCTGACTGGCTCATGAATCCCTGGAAACTTAGAAACTAGAATATTCACTAGGATATAGGTAAGGGTATGGTAACAAAGATGCCCCCAAATCCAGTGGTTTAAAGGAGTCAGATGTATACTTTTACTTACGTAGAAACCCTATAGGTGGCCTAGAGCCCATACGGCAGCTAATGGTGTTAGGGATCCCAGGCCCTCCAGTCCTTGTGAGAATCCAAGATGGCCTCATGGCACTTTGGGTCTGTACTTAGCAGAAAAAACGTGGGAGGGGGGAGAAGGCCATGTCACTCCTGCTCACACACCCTTGGCCCTAACATGGTCCCAGGACAGCACCTAGGTGCAGGAGATGTTGGGAAAATCAGTCTGTACTCTGGGTGGTTCAGGCCTGACTCATCACTGGCGATTTCTTTCGCTAAAGGGAAAAGGGGGTGTGACGTTGGGGGAGCTCACAATATGTGCTGTAAACGGTACCTGGAAGAACTAGCCCCAGGGGCTCATGGGAAGGGAAAGGAGTTACAGCAGGCTCACCTGTCTGGTCTCTCTAGGACCCCAACGAGGACGAGCCCAACATCCGAGTCCTCCTCGAGCACCGTTTCTACAAGGAGAAGAGCAACAAGAGTGTCAAGCAAACCTGTGACAAGTGCAACACCATTATCTGGGGGCTCATTCAGACCTGGTACACCTGTACAGGTGGGCTGAGCTCCAGACCTGCTCCTTCTGGGTGGGTAGTCCTGGTCCCCAGGGCAGGGCAGAGACCTTCAGCCCTGCTGCCATATCTGGGCTGTGTTCCGGTGAGTTCTCTGCAGTGTGCTCAGTATTTACTGAGCCCTGAGGAATACTGGGCATAAAACAAGGGACAAGAGACTCAAACTCCTGCCTTTATCAGGCTCACATCCACGTTCGGCTTTCTAGTATAGTAGCCACGAGCCACACGTGAACTCAAACTGATTCAAACAAGTAACGATTTAGTGCCTTACTAGTGCTGTCTACATTACAAGTGCTTAATGGCCACATGAGGCTGGGGGCTGCCATATTGGTCAGTGCAAAGAAAACGTTTCCATTATGGCTGAACATCTCTATGGATGGTGCTGTTCTGAACGAGCATATGGTGTGTTAGACAGTTGAAGAAACGTAAGGAAAGAGAATAGCGTAGGTCAGGGAGTGTGTAGGTCAGGTGTGACTTTAGGGTGGAATAAAAAGGCATCACGTGACATTCAAGCAACACTTGGAAGTCAGGGAGCAAGTCAGGAGTATATGTGGAGAAGAATGCCCCTCGTGGGGGGGACTTGGCTAGATACACTGGCTGGTGTGTGTCCAGTGTCTTCAGTGTGGAGCAGAGAAAAGTGTGGCTGGGCCATTGCAACTGAGAGGAGGTTGGTAGAGGTGGGCTCAGAGGCGACCAGGTACTTTCTCTAAGTGCACCGGGGGCCGTAGGTCGGTGCTGGACATGCTTAGGTTTTAACGAGATCACTCTGGCTGCTGAGCTGAGCACCAGCTGAAGGAGAAGTGCAGAGATGGACAGGGAGGATGATGGCACTCTGATCGGGGTGGGGCTGTTTTGGAGAAGAGCCCAGGTGCAGCACTGCCTGAAGGGCTGCAAATGGGCGTAAGAGTGGAGTTGAGATGATTTACAAATTTTAGTCTCAGTAGGTGGAAGGTTGGAGTCATTGAAACGCGAGGCGGGAAAACCATGTGTGGGAGGTGGGTTTGTCAAGGAAGAATGAGAATTCCATTTAGACTGAGCGAGTCTGATGCCCTTCAGGCATCCAGGTGGGAATGGCCGGTGGTCTGGAGTTGAGGACGAAGGCCCACACGCACCCACAGGGCAAGGCTTGGGAGGGGGCCTGACAAGGTCTTTCAAGTTCTGGGGCCTGCGGTGGGGCCTGGAGAAGCTCTCAGGTCGATGTGGGAATCGGAGTAGAGCTGAAGGCCAGTCCAGGCTGCAGGATCCCCTCCCTCCCCCGTCTGAGAGGCACGTTGCTGGTCCTCCCCACCCCAGGCTGTTATTACCGCTGTCATAGCAAGTGCTTGAACCTCATCTCCAAGCCCTGCGTGCGCTCCAAAGTCAGCCACCAAGCGGAATACGAGCTGAACATCTGCCCCGAGACAGGGCTGGACAGCCAGGATTACCGCTGCGCAGAGTGCCGGGCGCCCATCTCTCTGCGTGAGTGCCCCCGGAGAGAGCAGGGCGCAGGGTGAGGGAGGCTGCTCTGGGCAGGGTACCCCGGCCAACAGCTGTGAGAAACTTGGATCAGTCAGACGCTAAGGACGGCTTGGCTCCTGTGGATGGTGTCCTGCTCTCTCTCCTTGAGGAGTGAGAAGGGGCTGCTACTGGTGCCTTTTCTCTTCCCGCTCAGCAGACCGGGCTCCCGCCTAGGTCACGTGGGAGTGCTCACAAGGCTGCCCTGCTCCAGCCTCCCCGGCGGCCCCAGCGTCACAGGAAGCCCGCCTGGACGGGAAAAACGGCACGATAGTCGCTCGCTCGTGCGCCATATGTTAGGCCTTCTTCCAGAGAGTTACTGATGTTAATTTATGGGGTCCTCTCAGCAGTCCCGTGGTGGGGGTTATTGTCCCGTTTTAGTGATGACAAAGCTGAGGGTAGCCGGGTGCCTGATTTGCTTCAGGTCTTGGGGCTCAGAAGAGGTTGCGTCAGGTCTGGAGGGTGGCTGTTTCCCTGTATGTGGCCCCTTCCTTCCACAGGGGGCGTGCCCAGCGAGGCCCGGCAGTGTGACTATACCGGCCAGTACTACTGCAGCCATTGCCACTGGAATGACCTGGCTATCATCCCTGCACGAGTTGTGCACAACTGGGACTTTGAGCCGCGCAAGGCAGGGGCGGTGGGGGAGGGGGGCTCGTATACAGGCTGAGTGGGGAGGAACTGTAGCCCCAAGGACGGAGAGCCAGTGCTCAGGCCTGGGGGGTGGGGGGAGCGGATCTTGGTCCGGGGGGGGGGGTGTGGGGGGGTAGTATGTGTAATGCTGGAGGTGCCACTCCATCATGTCCCCCAGGTGTCCCGCTGCAGCATGCGCTACCTGGCACTGATGGTGTCTCGTCCGGTCCTCAGGCTCCGCGAGATCAACCCTCTGCTCTTCAACTACGTGGAGGAGCTGGTGGAGATCAGGGTGAGGCTGGAGGGGGCGGGGTGGACATTGTCCCCCCCCCCCCCCCCCCCCCCCCCCCCCCGTGTCCTGGGAGGAGAGATGCCACCTGCTGAGGGCTAGTGAGGCCCCTTGGCTATCTTTAGGGTTAAAGACACTAGAGCAGTGTCCGGTCACAATGACAGTAGGCCTAGAGGCAATTTGAAATTTTCTAGTAGCCGCCTCAAAAGTAAAACGCAGGTGAAATTAATTTTAACAATATATTTTATTTGGTCCAATGTATCCAAAAGATTATTGCAACATAATTAACGTACTACATTATTGAGATGTATTGCATTCTTTCTCTTTTTTGTACAATGTGTCTGAGGATAAATGCATCTCAGAGTGCAGTTGGCCTGGACGCTGTGATTTGAACTTGAGCTCGGCTGCAGCTCTCAGATCTGGGACCATCCCGGGGGATGTGACCTAGGGGATGTATCCTGTCCCCTCTTGACCTGGAGTGCCAGCCCCCTCGGCCACCCAGATGTGCCAGGGTGCAGCTCCGCCCTGGCCGAGAATGCCCACCTGCCCCTCTCGTCCTTAGAAGCTGCGCCAGGACATCCTGCTCATGAAGCCATACTTCATCACTTGCAAGGAGGCCATGGAGGCACGTCTGCTCCTGCAGGTCAGGACACTGGAGCGGGAGCTGGGGGTCCGGGGTCGGGGAGGAGGAGGGCACATGGGAAACAGAGAGCCAGGGCAATGAGGACACGCTGTGCCCAAGACTTTTTCAGACGAGTCGAAAGCTTATGTGTGCTGTGCATTTGGCACAGGGTCTCCCAGACTCCCAAGGGACGTGAGGTCTTCAGTAAGCAAACAGGCACTCTGCCCACAAAAGCGTTCTCTGATTACGTCCGTGCGAGAAACACTGGGAGAAGCAGGTATTGACCTGAATCTCCACGCAGTGGACCAGGCACAGGCGTGGACCAGGCACAGGCCTGCCCAGGCAAGACTGACCACGAACACACTTTTCCAGGCTCACTTATTTGTTCAACAAATATTCGGGGGTATTCACTGTTCTAGATCCCAGGGAGCAGGGAACAAAACAGGTAGGGATCCTTGCTCTCCCTTCAGGGAGCACCCTTCGGGTGGGGAAGAAAAATAAGCAGAATGTCGGGGCGGGGGTTGAGGTCTGTGGACAAGATACGGCAGGGAAAGGAGGTGCAGAATGTTGGTGGTAAACAGGGCCAGGGCCGGGAGGAGGTCTGGCATGCTGGGCAGAGGTGGGGTGTGCCCGCTGTGTTGGAAGCAGCAAGGTGACCGGTGTGGATGGTGCAGGGGGTGCTCTCTGGGGCCCAGACACCCTCTGCAGCCTGTTGCTTCCATGAGCACCCCTAGGGCCCAGATGTCGGGAGTGTCGGGGTGGGCAGTGGAAGGGGCCCTCACCTGGTATTGGGGTCACGGTTGCTGGGACCCACAGCTCCAGGACCGGCAGCATTTTGTGGAGAACGATGAGATGTACTCTGTCCAGGACCTGCTGGATGCGCACACGGGCCGCCTCAGCTGCTCGCTCACGGAGACCCACACACTCTTTGCCAAGCACATCAAGCTGGACTGTGAGGTGGGCCCCCTAGCCCGGACCAGGGGGCATCGCCCTCTGCTCCCAGTCTCAAGGGCAGGGAGGATGGGGAAACAGCTTGGCCCAGTGTGCCCTTCGGAGCATGCGCTGACCTGCCCCCCACTCTCCACTGTTGCCCCCCAGCGGTGTCAGGCCAAGGGCTTCGTATGCGAGCTCTGCAGAGAGGGTGATGTGCTGTTCCCCTTTGACAGCCACACGTCCGTGTGCACCGAGTGCTCTGCTGTCTTCCACAGGTTAGTGTGGCTCCGACCCACCCTGAGGCCAGGTGAGGGGGCCACCTGCCACAGTGGGGGGCATTTAGGCTCAGGTCTTTGCTGCCTGATTTTCAAAGCCCTTGGCTTTGATCCTAGATACGGGGTTAGACCCTGATGTGAACTAAATTCAAAGTTCCCCTGGGAACAAGCACCTGTGGGGCTGGGGAGGGTGCTGAAGCCCAGACCCCAGGTGTGCACACGGTGTCTGACCTGCTCCCACTTCCCACCAGACCTGAGACGTAGCAGAGGCCAGAGCTTCCTAGACTTCCTGGTTCCTGGCACCCTCAGTGTCCTGGTGATTTTTTTTCAAACATCCCTAGGCCGAAAGAAATACCAACATTTTTATTAAGTACTTAGATCCAAACAACTTAAGCATTTGTGACAAAAAGACTTAGTGGGTTGTTTGGAAAAAGAACACACATATGTTGGAAGAAAAATAATTTAATTCTCTAATAAGCGCAGTTACTAATACTAGGTGATGCCTGCTGGGCCCTGCGTGACTTCTCACACTGGACTCAGATGGCCACCCCCCATTTCTGTCCCCCATTTCTGTGCCACGGGTTTTTGCCTGGCACTTGCTGTTTGTCCTAGCATCCAGTGACACTGTGGAACTGGGATTGCCGTCACCGTAGCAAAAATACATGCTGCAGGCGTGGCTTCCCTTGAGCTAGCAGTGTGTGTGCCATGTGACAGATGTCAAGCATTGCTGTGTCACCACCAAATCTTAATAGTCCCCAGGACCCTGTGCCCCCCCAGTGCCCTGGGCGGAGGCTCGGCACAGTGGTGGTAAGCACAGGTAGGGAAGCCAAGCGGTGAGAGCGCCCAGCGGATGGTAGCCAGCGGTCAGGTGTGGACCCTGTGGGAAGGCCTGCGCTGAGAGCTGGATCGCAGGCCCGGTAGACACATCTGGGTGCCCACCTGGCTTCTGCCCTTTGGGAGAAGGGGGATGTTAGAGCCTGACTTAGGAAGCCTGTGAAGGCTCAGCGGTAGAATTTCACATGCAGGGAGCCCGGACCTTTCCTAGGGCTGACCCCCTGTCCCCCCCCTGCCCCCAGGGACTGCTACTATGACAACTCTACCACGTGCCCCAAGTGTGCCCGGCTCACCTTGCGGAAGCAGTCACTCTTCCAGGAGCCTGGTCCAGATGTGGATGCCTAGAGCAGCAGGCACCCCCCCCACCCCAAGCCTTTCTGGCATCCAACCTGCTGGTCATTGCCAAAGTCAAGGTGTTTTTTGTGTTCTGGAGACCCCAAGGGTGCAGCCCCTGGACGTCTCCCTTGTGCTGGGCCGGAGGGGTGTAAGCAGCACCATGAGGCCCGTCATCTGTCTCCCAGGCATTTGCTGGGATGTGGTGCAGCCTGGCTCTTTGCTGGGTGTGCTGCTGTGAAGGCTTCAGGGCTCCGTAAGCAGGGGAGTGGGCAAAGGGCGTCTCACCTCCCTGGTGGCAAAGAGCCTTGGGGCCGTGGCTGCTGGGCTTTGGCCACCCTGAAAACCCAGAGAGGACTTTGTGGGAGTAGCCAACAAACCCTGGGGATGCTGGCTACATACACCCAGACTTGGCCTGAGGAAAATCTGCAGTGGATGATTTGGACCTACCTGGAGGCTCCCATCCCCCAGCCCCTTGTCTGTTTGGAGACTTCTAGTTGTCTCTGGCTGGGGTCGTTCACAACCGTCTCCTGAGGGCTCTGCCCCTGCCTCTTGAGGTTCTGTCTCTAGGTTCTCCTCTGACAGGACCAGCCCGGGGGTTACCTGTTCTGTACAACGTGGAGGGAAGGGGGCCGTGGTCTCTTCCTCCTACTCCCCCGGCCTACCCTGGTGCTCCAGGCTGGGTGGCTGGGGGTCCAGTTGGAAGAGGCTGTCCTGCTTCCCAGTTTGGAGCAAGGACTATGCCCCTGGGGGAATTCTAGGTTAGGCAACGGGGTTGGCAGCAGTAGGCCTGTGTGGCTCTTCTGGGAACTCTCTGCCTGAGGAGCTCCATGCTGCTTCCACAGTGCCTGTGGAGGGCTCCGGATGGCCCAGAGACCACCAGCCAGTGGTCTTTTGCTTGGGGCCTGGAGGTGCTGGGAGTATTTGCTCAAGGGAGCTTTGGGCAGGAATCTTAGAGCCCATGCGGGAAGCCTGGAGCACAGGATGTGGAAGGTCCTGTACACCAGCTGACAAATGGGACCCTCAGGCAGAAGGTGAGAACCCACAGGTTCTTCACTGGTGGAGCCACAGTCAACCTCGGTGTTTGCAGGGACGTTTTGTGCTTTAGAGACCTTGCCATTGAGGGGGGAGTCCTGTGGGAAGGGGACATTTCAGGATGTGGCTCTCCAGCCTTTTGTGCCCTCTTGCCCAGACTGTGGTCAGCTGTTGATGCATATGGTTGACATACATATGTGGTGGGGGTGGGGTGGACAGGGAACATAGCCACTTGGGTATCCATCACCTTTGGCTAGGAAACCCAAGAGGAGATGCTTCAGCCAGCAGAAAAGTCGGCTTAGCCTGCTGGAGGATCAGAGGGGTGGCTAAAGACCGTGTCTCCTCCTCCTGGCTCTTCTGCGCCATCAGAAAAGCCTCCGTTGGTGGCTTTAGGCAATCCTCTCGCTGAGTGTTCTGATCTGCCTTGGGGTAACAGTGAGAAGCAAACATTGGTGCGGTTGGGTCAACAGGTCCCTGCCCTGCTTCCCCTTCCTCTCGAGGGCTGAAGAGGGGCTTAAGGTCCAGATGCCCTTTTCCTGCACCCCCAGATCCACACATTTTCCACCACTGCTTCCCATTTCTGTCAGAAGGATACTGGCCATTCCCGGCTTTACCGCGTAACGGACGTCACATCATTGTAGTTACAATCACCACGTCCATAGAAAGCGTTAATAAGTTGCCATCTGCTGGATGAGGAGTTGGCCCCCTTTTCTTTTTAACAACCCCCATTCCCTCCTCCCCCAATATCGCCATCTTCCCCTTCTGGATGACCGAGTCTTTAAACAAGATCACGTGTGGGTCTTGGAATCCAAGCACTGTAGCCAGAACCCACCAAAGAGCCAGTTTGCATGGCCAGCGCTTCACAGAAAAGCAGCAAGGGACACCTGGGTGTACTGACGCCATAGCCTCTGTCTCATTAAATCTGTGTTCTCTAGACTCTGGTGTGTGTGGTGAATTGGGGACAAGACAGGATTTATTGACATGCAGACCAACTGCAGCCTTCCCCATCCAGTGGGGCCAAAGGTGATTCGGTTTGGGGAGTTTGTGATGAGTGTCAGAGGGCTGAGTGTATGGAGTCCCCTCAGCTCCGTGTCTATGAAAGATGAAAACACATAACTTGGGGTTGTTCAGGCTCTAGGAAGCATCGAGCACTGAGCCTGGCGTGCAGAGAATGTTCGGTAAGTAGAAACTGTGTCTTCTGGAGTCCTCATGGTTGAGGGATTATCTCATAACCCAGTGGAATCAGCGGGAAACTGGCTGATCATGCAAGTCACATGTCCAGCTCCTGGCAATCTCTTTCACAAGCTAGACCCACAGAAGGGCCCTCACTGCAACTCAGGACCATTCCCATTGCCCTGGGCTTCAGGAGAACCCTAACTGCCCCTCTCCCAAATTACATGCAAGCCTCTGTATATGTACATTCTTTTCAGAGAGATGATCTACAGTTTTGACCAGGATCTCAAAGGGGCCATGACCCAGCGAATATAAGGAATCTTCTGATAAGACTGTAACCCTAACCCTAAAGAAACCAGAGAGCTCTATGGGCGCAAGCGGAAGGGAGGGAGGAATGGTGTGGGAGGGCTGTTTGTGGGCCTGGTCTTGGCATATTTGAGCACACACCTCCAACTACAAGTAACTAAAGCTATACTTTGGATATTTGATGTAAGATGAATATGTTCTCTCTCTTTTAGGTGATGAAATGGTATTTTCTTTTTACCATTAAATTTTTTTTAATGTTTATTCAGTTTTGAGAGAGAGAGAACATTAGCAGGGGAGGGGTAAAGAGAGAGGGAGATACAGAATCTGAAGCAGGTTCCAGGCTCTGAGCTGTCAGCACAGAGCCTGACATGGGGCTCGAACTCACAAACCGTGAGATCATGACCTCAGCCAAAGTCGGATGCCCAACTGAATGAGCCACCCAGGAGCCCCTCTTTTATCATTTATATATTGGCAAACTTAGATAGATATACAGAACCATTGCAAAAACATTCCCATTTACCTATCTCCTGGATTCCCTAAATATTTTTTTTTTTTAGCATTTATTTATTTTTAAGAGAGAGAGACAGAGCACCAGCAGAGGAGGGGCAAAGAGAGAGGAGACAGAATTTGAAGCAGGCTCCAGGCTCCAAGCTGTCAGCACAGAGCCAGATGCGTGGCTTCAACCCATGAACCGCAAGATCATGACCTGAGCTGAAGTAGGACACTCAACCGACTGAGCCACCCAGGCACCCCTGGAGTCCCTAAATATTAACATTTACCTCATTTGCTGTATTCTTTCTGTGCACGTGCACATTTCTTTTTCTGAACCATTTGGCAGGGAGTTTCAGAGATGATGCTCCTTTGCCTCTAAATACATGCGTCTTCCTGCCAAACAAGGACGTTACAAGGCCACAGTGCACTTATCACTGGGAAATTAACATGGACACATCACAGAACCTACAACAAAACTTATTTAGATTTTGCCATTCAGCTGCTATGTATGTTTAGTCTTCTCTAATCTGGAAAGGTGCGTGATGGACCCCTTTAAGAAGCACAAGGTAACTGGGGCGCCCGGGTGGCTAAGTCGGTTAAGTGTCTGACCCTCAGTTTCCGCTCAGGTCATAATCTCACAGTTTTGTGGGTTCGAGCCCTGTGTCGAGTGTGGAGCCTGCTTGGGATTCTCTCTGTCTCTCTCTGCCTCTCCCCCACTTGTGCTGTCTCAGTCTCTCTCAAAATAAATAAACTTAAAAAAAAAAAAGCACAAGTTAATAATTTTGAAGACTATCCTTCAATGCGGGTTTTTCTGATAGGATTCAGGCTTCGCACGTGGGGTGAGAATTCCCCAGGAGTGACGCTTTGATCTACTTGTCTCCTGCGTCCTTTTGACATGTTTCTGTCATTCTTTAGGAACCGCTTACTTTCTAGCGTAATAAGGTGTTCTTGGTTTTTCTTGCACTTTCCCACTCCTAGCCCTGAAACCAGCCATTTCCTCAAGGAGCCCCAATAGCTGTTAGTGGACAGTGGTAATTCAGTAAACAAGATGTGGTCGTCGGGTGTGCTCAGTCCTACTGGGCTGTCACTGCTTCTAGGTCCTTTTACCAGACAGGAAATAGTAGCCCTTCATCGACATCTAGTCCTCCATAAACATATTAAAAACATGAGTTCACACTGATACTCCCAATTTCAAAGTAATGCCACAAGATTCTTTCCCCTTTTTAATATTTGTGATTCCCTTCCTTGACAGAAACCTGGCTCTGTTATCTATAATTATTTATTTGCTCAATCCTAGAACACACAGAGAGTACCTTCAGCATTGCCAACCTATGCCTCTGTGAAAAAGCCTAGAGCTTAATATTTTTTTTGAGTTCCTTTTTGTATTTAGTTGAGGGAATACAGTCAAAACACAGCATTCAAAATTCACTTGGGTGTTTCTCCCCTTTCATTGTGCATATGTAATTCATGAGAAATATGGTTCCATTCATGTACTCCGTTTTATTTCCCTATTTTTATTTTTTTAAATTGGCTTCACACCTAGTGCAAAGCCCAACATGGGGCTTGAACTCACGACCTTGAGATCAAGAGTCAGAAGTTTAAGCAACGGAGAGCCACCCGGGGGCCTCTTATTTGCCTATTTTATTGTTGTGATATATTAACATGGTTCCTAAAGTCAGAACTTCACAAGAGGCCACGGTGCTTGGCTGGTTCAACAGAGACTTGCCTGTCTCTCTCTCTCAAAAATAAACATTAAAAAAAAAATTTTTTTTAAAGGCACTTTAAAAAATAAAAACCTTTATAAAAGGTTCGTCAAATATCTTCCTCCCCCGTTCTTTGCTTCTTTCCACCCCTTCCCATCAGGTAACCAAGATCTTTGGTCTCTGGCTTCTCCTTTCTGGGTTTCTTTTTGCAAAAATGAGTATGATACATGTCTATTTTCTTATTTCGTTTACCCCTTTTTTTTAATAATTTTTTTAACATTTATTCATTTTTGAGAGATGGAGACAGAGCATGAGTGGGGGAGGGGCAGAGAGAGGGAGACACAGCAGCTGAAGCATCTTCGCACGAAACCCGACTCAAGGCTTGAACCCATGAACCGCGAGATCATGACCTGAGCTGAAGTTGGACGTTTAACCAACTGAGCCACCCAGGCGCGCCCCACCCCCCACCTTTTTTTTTTTAAAGTTTGTTTTTTGAGAGAGAGAGAGAGAGCGTGTGAATGGTGGAGGAGCAGAGAGAGAGGGAGAGAGAAGAGAGAATCCCTAGCAGGCTCTGCACTGCAGCACAGAGCCTGATGTGGAGACTGAAGCCATGACCTGTGAGATCATGACCTGAGCCCTGAAGTCAAGAGCCCGATGCTCAACCCACTGAGCCACCCAGGAGCCCCTCCCCCTTCTTTCTTCCACAAAAATGATAGCATACTGTTTTTTTGCACGTTGCTTTTTTCAAAAAATAGTATACCCTGGAAACCATTCTCTATCAGTCCAGAGTTCTTCCTCCTTTATTACTGTTATCATCATTTACATCTAGGTTATATCCCATTGTATGTAATAACCATTTCATATTTGACCATTCTTCTATATACGAATATTCAGGCTGTCTCCTCACTTTTGCAGTAACAAACAAGGATGCCACAAGTAGTCTGTGCACATGTATTTTCTTTTGTTGGAGGTGTATCTTCAGAGTATACTCCTGAAAGTGGGATTGTTAAATCAAAAGAAATGTATTTTTTATGAGTGTCTGATGTCCCTCCATATTCGTTGTAGCAATCTGCATTCCCATCAGCAATGTAGGAGGTCCCTGTTAGCCCAGAACATCACCAACAGAGTGTGTGGCCATACTTTTTGATTATCTGTCAATCTAATTAGTGAGACACAGTATCTGTGTAGCTTTAATTTGCATTTCTCTAATCATGAATGAGGTTGAACTTTTTTTGTTTCAAGACCTAATTTATTTATTTATGAATTATATCCTTTGTCCACTTTTCTATTGGATTTCTGGTATTTTTTCCTCCTCAATCCTAAGAGTTCTCCATATAGCAGGGATTAGCCCATTGTCTGTGAGATGTTGCAAATATTTTCTTCCAATTTATCAACTGCTTTTGACTTTGTAGTGTTTCTCCCATGGAAAAGCTCTTTTGTTACATTTTTATACAGTCAAATTAACTTTTCTTATTTCATCTGGATCTTAAGTCATGGAAAATTTCCCAGCACCCAGGTCAAAGAGGCATTCATCTATGTGTTTTTGTAGTACTCGTATGGTTTCAATTTTTATTTTTGGATCCACGATCTGTTTATTTAGTCTTGTGTATGCTGTGAGGCAGGGATCTAATTTTATCTTTTTCCAAATGATTAACCAGTTGTCCCCCACCATTAAAAAAAAAAATCGGGGCTTCCAAACTTATTCCACAGGTCTGACTACTGCACTGACTTACTCACTGAAGTTTTATAGTTTGCTTTAATGTCTTAGAAGAGCTAGTCTCCTCCTTGCAGTTTTCTCTCTCTTTTTTTTAAAGTTATTCATTTTGAGAGAGAGCATGCACACAAGCAGGGGAGGGGCAGAGACAGACAGGGGGAGAGAAAGAATCCCTAGCAGGCTCTGTGCTGTCAGTGTGGATCCCAACGTGGGGCTTGATCTCACAAACTGTGAGATCGTGACCTGAGCCAAAATCCAGAGTCAGATGCTTAATAGACTGAGTCACCCAGGCACCCTGCAGTTTTCTCTTTTTGAAGCAGCATTTTCCTGGGTATTCTTGCATGTGATTATTCTAAAGCACATATTTAAGTGAAATTTTAATGACAAAATTTGGTACTCTCAGGTGTCAAAATGAAAATACCAGAAACAAGAGTTTCCAAAGATGTAAAGCATCTGGAAGTAGAGAGGCGTGGCTGGATCTCATCCGCTGAGGTCATCTTGTTGCTTCTGGCTTTATTTTGATTAACGTTTGGTCGCACACACT